ATATTTAATAATTTATATATGTAATTGAATTGTATTTGTATTGGGAAATCACTTTCTTTAATCGGTTTTTTATATACCTGGTATCCTCAAATTTAAAAATTTATTTAAATCAAATTAAATAACGATATAGAATATAAATAAAAATATGGAAACAATTATTTTGATACTTTAGTAGTATAGGAGATTTTAACACGATCTCTGGAAGATTTTTATGTTTGGTCGAAATTTCTGAACGATTTAAAGATTCCTGAATCTATATAAATAACGATTAGACAGTTTAATGAAAACATATTTGATTAACCTTATAACATTAAATGTAAGATATGGTTTAATAAACCTCTTTTTCCTACTTTTATATAGGATTGACGTCAAAAAAAAAAAATATAGAATATATATTTACTGCACAAAAGAATAATTGTAGGTCAAATAAGAAGAGATTTTTTAAAGACCAAAAGGGGAAGATCTTTTGAGTAAGACTTTGGAGAAGTCACATTGTCGTCGCGCAACCTCTTGCTAGTTTCATGTCCTCCCAAAAGTCTTCTCATTTTTCAATAATTATGTAAAGTTTACAATTGTTTTTTTTAAGACATAATGTTTTAGTTGAAGACTTAACAGTACAAGCAATTCAGTTGTTTAGCTGACCCTTGAAAAGTACGATTTTTTCCATCAACCATTTTTTTGGGTTTTTCTTTCTTAATTTATATGCATTTGTTTAATGACTACATTTTTAGATAATGATCATAAATATGCGATTATTTACTTTTTGTTTTTAATTGAAAGCGATTGCTCCACTTAATTATTAACAAGTTATATGTGCCTTCCCGCCACAGAATCTCTGTTCACGAAATTAACTTCCATGTTTCTTTGTTTGCATTAATCCATTTTGGAGCAATAAAAAAACAATACATCGGAGATGTTCTGGTTTACATGAACTTCCAATCTTATTAGGAGGAATATATATATGCATCTATGATCTCATTCAAAGTAAAGTAATGAAACTTAAAACAGACTATATGACTTGTGGAAGACGATATTACCGAGCTTCTAAGTTAACAATTTTTTTTTCCACAAAAAGAAATCTAAAAGAGTATATATTATGCATAATATTTTTGAATCACAAATTGAAAACTTTGCACAGAACAACAAACGTCGGGACAAATGTGTTGAAGAATAATTTTCTCAAGCAACCGCGTGAGCATTGATATATAATATCTTAAATTTTCTTAATTTACTCATGAAAAACAAACTGACAACTCTTTCAACCAAAAAAAAAAAAAAACTGACAAAGAGAATGTTGTAATGTCGAATCATCTCAATTTGATAAATTATATCACGTTAAGAATCGTTTTTTTAATATAGAACACTGAACAATTCAAATCCCTAAAACAGTATTATATTTGGAAGTCTATTCGGTCAAGTGGACTAAGAATTTTTTTTAATACTTCTACACCATAAGGCATGAAGATCGAATCCCCAGAGAATATAAAAACGAAAAGAAAATCAAAATTGTAAGAGATTTTCAGGGTGTTGTAAACATAGCCTTTCGTCATTGTCCAGCGTATCAAGCGTAAAGTACTCGAGCATGGTACAGGTAGAAACATTGATCGTGGAACCTTGAACGTAGGTAAAATTTTCTGTTGTAGAATGAGCCATATAGTTGTTCTTATAATTTATGATAAATATTTTTTTGAGATGAGAATAAAAAGTTTTACATGTATCTATATTTTGAAAAATAGTTGATATATACCTTGTTTTATTCTTTCAGAAAAGAGTATTGGATTTAATTTTATATTTTCGTAAGGCTTAAAAAACTATTAGTTTTGATGTGTTATCTATGTCGACTACATTAATAATGATTCAATCTAATAGTACTCTTTTAAGCATTGAGCAATAAAAAATATCCACTAGTCTTTTCTGGAAAAAAAAAGAGTAATTGATGTTTTCTATGTCAAGCAAAATCAAAACTACATACATCGAAATAATAAAACAGTACTATTAAATAACTATCTATAAACTGAATACTAAAAGTGTAAGAGTTTGATGTGTGTATAACAAATGGGAGTACTACAGGTTTGGAGAGTTTGCTGGACCAACTTTGATCCTACCAAACACTTCAAGCTTAAGTTGATCAATCGCTCTATTTATTTCAATACATTTTCGAAAAACATTATAAATCAGCGATCATGTGTGCATGTATATACAACTAGATAGTTGATCGAAAACGCAGACGTACTATTACGGAAAACATCTTAGATGGTTTAAATTTTATTAACAAAAAAGAAAATAGTGCGAGTGGAGATATTCATTTTCAGGCACACGAAACAAATACATATTCAGGTGGTATATATACGTAGAAGAGACGGAATTAGAAGAAGCCATGCACTAGATGACAAAACAATGATCGTCGTCTTGCGTGCATGGGAAAGGTTCAATTAGTCCAACCACGTAATTCTTTGTTTTTGGCTTCCACATCTTTGTTGACCAAACTTACTATTATTATTGGACTCGTTGTTAAATACAAATTATTACTAAATATCTCAATAAGCTCACCTTGGTTTCTCCTTTACCAACTCGTTTAAATATTCCCTAAATACGCAATTTTAATTGTCAAATTGGGAATAGATAATACTCTGTCAGGTTACTAAACTTCAATGATTTTTTTGCCCGTTTAAAAAAAACAAGTAGAAACTTCCATGAACCAATTAAAATGTATATTAAGCTCTTGAAATAATGGTTCAAACCCAGTAAAAAGTATGAGTTTGGCCGTAATTTTAAATGTACATACATATACCGTGAATCATGCAACGTAAAAACACATGTGTTTGCCACTTTTGAGGCTAAATTATTACAGCGGTGAATTGATTTTTTTTTTCTTTTGGGCCAAATGCGGTGAATTGATTAATTGTAGTAGTTCTACTCAAAAAGAATTATATTGTGGAAGCAAATGTTAAAAGTATAACCTAATTTCCAATCGGATATTCTAGATATTTAACGCGTTTACAGTAACAAAAAAGAAATCCACAACAATTTTCATAAATGGTGAAACTCAATCTTTAACCTTCAAATCTTAGAACAAATCATTTACACATTTGAACAAACCAATGTACCTCATACTCTTGATTTTTGTCATCATATATTGGCTGCGTTATAAGATAAGATGGTGCAGCTAGCGAGTTCGGAGTACCGACATTCTTCCACAACATCTTCATCAATCAATCTACATTTATAGAGGGCAAAAATTGCAAATCGTGATGAATTGGTGTCTAATCGATGGTTTTCTTTAAACGATTATAAATGCCCATATTTGACAGATACATATCTACTTTATAGTGAACAACTGGATACTATATATACTTCTTTCGTTTCAAAATATACATCGTTTTAAGATTTGTTTTTTATTTTTCAAAATATAGATCATTTGCAGTTTCCAATATAACTTTTACAAAAATATCAATTTTAACTTTAAATTAAACTAATAAAATACTTAATAAATATGTGAATGAATTAATTAACAAGATCATTATAACCAAATTACAATTTTTCTTAATCTCTGTGTAACAACCTAAAATAACTTATATTTTGAAACATAAGAAGTATAAGATGGTGAAATTCATTCACATCTAAATGCTGACTTAATAATATTGTATTAAAATGATCTGCATGTATACAGAAATAAAATAGCTTATCTAATCTATCTACGAAGAAGATTATTTTATATAGATATGATTTACCAAACCCCCAGAAACAATGCATTACCCCAAGGGAGACACTTCACGGATATTGTGCCAAATATGATTACTATATGACCACACAGGTCCGACCACATAAATCTCGGTAACATTTTACCCTTACTTTAGATTGTTTAAACATTTGCATTATATTTTTAGAAAAAAAAAATCCGTAGTTAAACAATTGTACTTTTAGATTAGTGTTGTACAATTAAACTTTAGAAAAATTAAAATTACCTTCTTTTCTCTATGAAAAATCTACGTTTGTCAGTAGAAAACCTTCAAAGTACGTACATTACACAATATATTCTATCATTACAAATTACAAAAGATCAGTAAATACTTGTGACATATTCTATATATTAGCAACAAAATTTGGAATAAAAAACGAGACCCAATTTTTAATGGACTTCTATTAAAAAAAATGTCGTAAATCAATCATAGAAATGTCATAATTCGTCTCAAAAGTGCTTCAAACAAACAATCATAACTAATCTACAATAAATTTGTCCCACATCAAAACTACGATGCAAATATATAGTAGAAACTTTTCTTGTACTTAATTATATAAGATGTAACCAAATATTATATTAGCTAAAATTTACAATTAAAAAAACAACTCGCAAATTTTTTCATAAAGATTAAGAAGTTTGATTCACAACTGATCAACTATAAGTTGTTGTTTGACTTATTGTCGAGCATATTTTACCCTAGACTGTGCATACGTTTGGTTTTGACGCAACTGGATGCATCAGCCAATCAGTGACATATATTCTTCTCCTTCAACACATTATATGGTATATTTGCTCTGTTACGCATCATTCTACCAAAAATTTTAATATCTTGCTTTTATCAACTATTGCATTTAAATTCACCAGGATCACAATCTACGTGATGTACTATCGTTTTAAATCTGGGAGAGAGAGATCTGTCAAATTTCTGTGTGAGCTTAATTAGAACAATATATAGTTCCCATGTATAAATGCGTGAAAGCTGTAATGAAATTACTAACCAGATATATATTTTTAAAGATTTGATTTCTTTACAAAATGCATGATAAATACGTCAGCTCATAGTATCAAAAGAAACGGCGACATAGATTTTGTCTAGGAAATTAGTTAATAAAAACACACAAAAAAACATTAGTCAAACAAATTACTTTAAAGAAAGCCAAGTGAAAGGACGAGGAATTATCAAATAATATATTTAAACTTATCATCAATCATCCACGAAACTGTATATAAATACCAAGTCCTAACCTCAAGCTTTGGCAGTCTTAGAAGAAAGATAAGACAACATAATCACAGAGAGAGAGAGAGAGAGCGCGATGGGGAGGTCTCCTTGTTGCGATGAGAATGGTCTAAAGAAAGGGCCATGGACTCCTGAAGAAGATCAAAAGCTTATTGATTACATTCATAAACATGGTCATGGAAGCTGGAGAGCCCTCCCCAAGCTCGCAGGTATCTTGCTTTCCGATTCTCTTAACTCAGTTCATCGGTTTCTATAAAGTCATATTATATAAGGTCTTGCATGTATCTAGATTTCGGTACGTAGTTTTGAAACTTTTCTCTCCATTTTTGCAGATTTGAATCGGTGTGGAAAGAGTTGTAGATTGAGGTGGACAAATTATTTGCGACCAGATATCAAAAGAGGAAAGTTTTCCGCGGAAGAAGAGCAAACAATCCTCCATCTCCATTCCATTCTCGGGAATAAGTAAGTGTTTTCAACATATTAGTCGTCGTTTTTCATCATAAAACTTTGAATGGAAATTTTTTTTCCCAACAATATTTAATATGTCTACAATTTTGAAACCGAGTGGTACTACAATGGAAAAAATAGCACAAACCATTACTACATGTGTTTGATCATTTTGAATAAAAGTTTGAATAATTATTATTTTTTTAATGTATAGATGGTCTGCTATTGCAACGCATTTGCAAGGACGTACTGATAATGAGATCAAGAACTTTTGGAACACTCATCTAAAAAAGAAGTTGATCCAAATGGGGATCGATCCCGTGACTCATCAGCCAAGAACCGACCTCTTCGCAAGCTTACCTCAGCTCATAGCCTTAGCAAACCTAAAAGACCTCATTGAACAAACATCACAGTTCTCATCCATTCAAGCCGAGGCAGCTCAACTAGCCAAGCTACAATATCTCCAATGCATGATTAACTCTTCGAATTCATTATCCAATAACAATAATAGCCCGAGTAGTATTCTCGATATCGATCAGAACCATGCTATGAATCTCTTAAACTCCATGGTCTCTTGGAACAAAGACCAGAACCCGGGTTTTGATCCGGCTCTTGAACTCGAGGCTCACGATCAACATCAAGGTTCATTTCCATCCGGATCCATCATTGATCCAACCACCCAACCACTCCAACAACAACAATACCATTTAAACAATAGTCCCAGTGAGCTACCATCACAAGGTGACCCACTTCTTGAACATGTCCCTTTCAATCTCCAAAAACCTTTGAATATTGAAGATCACTTTATAGATCAAGAGCATGATAATGATAATGATGATCCATCTTCATGGATACTACCTTCTCTTATGGACCACAACACTAACAATGCCACGTCTTCTCTTCCTCACAATAATCCGGTGGACGCAAGCAGTAGCTCAAGCTATGGTGGTGGAGACGCTGGGTCGCTTTATTGGCCTGACTTTTGTTTCGACGAAAGCCTCATCAAGGACATGTCTTAATTACTTACTCTTGGCTTAATGGTTTTTTTATAAAAAAATTCTGTTACTAGGCTCTAATTTTTTATTTGTTTTGTTCGTCGTTATAGTGTCTTTTAAGGTGTAATCCGTTTATACGTTCCTTTCTGTTTTGAATTTTTATGTAATTAGACGTATATGTCTTTTTTTTCTTTTATAACCATACGACATATGTGTAAATAATTTTTCAATATATTATAGTTTTCCTATAAAAACTATATGGTGCTATAAAATTATTCGTTAACTTTTTCCCTTATATCAACATTGTGTGAGTGAACTACTTTACCATATTCTCGTATTACTGGTCAAATCAATATAATTATAATGATGAGAGAGAGGGAGGGGGAAGAGAGAGAAAGAGAGATGAGACTTTGAAAGCTATTAGTATAATCACTGTCAAAGTATTGAGCTAATTTTTCGTAAGTATTGATTTATGTCAAGAATAAGATATATTTATTTATATGCATAGAAAACAAAGAGACGCACGACTAACTTATGAAGATTATGTAAAGTTTCTAGAATAATAACTAATCTACTCTGCAACCACTCTGAAAGGGGCATCGAGTTTCCTGCGTGAGTAGTTAGACAATATTTCCTGCTTGTCTTTCAAGATTTTGACCTCTAAATCTAATCATTCAAAATTAACTATGCTTATATTAATCTCAAACATAGTTTTTGGCAGCACTTATTTTTTCGTTGATGACAAATATCATGACCATGTCCCAAAACTTGCTAAAAATTCGTTACCAAGACTTACATTCTATAATTTTGTTAATTTTCCATATGAGAAACATTTTTGTTCATGAATAGGAAAACTATATATTATAGTTTAAGATACGAACAATTATTGGAGTGAGAACTTGGCATTAGCCAAAAACTCGTCGATCGGTAAATTCTTCAAAATTTAAAGATTAAAATGAACGTTGATTTACTTGAAGATAAAACCCTAGCCATCAGAGAAAGAAAGAAAAAAAGGAGATTTTTTCTGTGGATCCGGGCCGATGGCCGGAAGCTTCTATAGCTCTAACATCGGCTTGGTTAGTTTCTTCTACTATTTTTCTTTTGATTTGTTTTTTTCCAATTTATTTTAAATATGGCAAATTTATTGATTGTTTTTCAAGAGATTGTTTTAATGAATTTGGCGAAGACAAAATCTCTGATTCAATTGAACCATTTCAAAGAGGTAACTAACATAGAAGTGGATGGTGGCAATGGTTCTTCCTAGTTTCAATCGCTGATGGTGTATTCGGTGTTGATGCATTTTTCATCGCAAACCATATCTACTCCATAAGGCGGCTTGAATATGAACTTCTAATTAATCGATTGTTTGGAACAGTGATTTCAAAAACTCCTACTGGAGCAATAAAATGAGATTTGTAGCTGTGATCAATTCAAGCGTTGATAAATGTTTTTGGATTTTTATAAAGATTATCTTAATGGAAATTTAATCAGTTCAAAAACAAAAAAAAAAGTGGAGTATCTAGCTGCAGAATCTTTAGTTATACATTCACAAAAAGAATGTCATTATTTATCTTGGATCCCTATTGGTGAATCATTCCTGTTGTTAACTCTTTGATTTTTCTGGTTTTCTTAATAAAATGTCATTCAGCGTTAAAACAAAATATGAAAGTTGACTCTGCTAAATTCGAAGATTAAATTATACTTTTAAAAATGACAGACTATACATATAAAAAATATAAAGTAACATATTAAAATGTTAACATTCCAGATTTAAGTCTTTAGAATTTTTAATAAATAAATGTAAGGCTAAGTATATAATCAGCCAATATAAAGTAATATCTAACTCTGAACATAACAGAGTCAAAATTTTGTGTTTGTCTATTATCACAACAAAAAGTTGTTAGAAGAGAGAGAGAGAAAAAATAGAGTAAAGAGAAGATGAATGAATTGATTTTCACATTAATTATTACACAATGTCATATATATATATATATATTTACAAATATGAATAGTAAACCGGTATTAACCATATAATACACTCTCCTCAAGCCTTAATCTGGAGCTGGAGGAAGCTAAAACTTGAAATTGACATCTTACACAAAAGCGAGTGAAACTGAGATGAAGCCAAAGGCTTTGTTAAGTTGTCTGCATATTGGTTCTCTGTTCCAACATGGAGGGTTTTGAGAAAACCGTTCTTCAGTACATCTTGAACTTTATGACAGTTGATCTCTGTGTGTTTCATTCTCTCCTGAAACACTGGATTAGAAGTAATGTTTAGAGCAGACTTGTTGTCACGAAATAGCTTCGCTGGTGCAGATGGTGTGATATGAAAGTCAAGAAGTAATTGTTGTAGCCAAAAGAGATCACAAGTTGCATCTGCCAAGGCTCTGTATTCAGCTTTTGTACTTTTTTCCACTAATAATCCTCTCTGCTTCCTCGATTTTCAAGAGATCAACAAAGTTTCCGAGTCGATACAATAACCTGAAACTGATCGTCTAGTATCTGAACATATATCCTAGTCAGCATCTGCAAAAGCATTGAGGTACAAATCCGCTGTAGCAGAGTAAAAAAAAGACATTGGTCATTGTTAGATTTCAGATATCGTACTAATTTATGAGCTGCAGTGAGATAGAGATACGTAGGTGATAACACCGGATTTTGACCATTTTTATGGATCATTTTAATATCTTTTATAGGTGTTTTTACTCCATTTTCAAAGGTTTTCAAAGGATTTATATGTTTCCGGATTTTAAAAGACTTTTCAGGTAATTTGGGATAAAGAGGCACAAAATGGAACAAAAAGACTCTTTTGCATAAATGCTGACCGTCAGAACTCTCATGGAGAGACGAAGACTTTCTCACCGTCTGATCACCCTCAAAATTGGACAACTTATAGAAGAATCAACCAGCTTTCAAATGCACTTGGTTTGGAGACATTCCAACGGTTGGATCTCAAGATATTTCATTAGCCCCAGAGCCATTCGAAGTCGGTCAGCAACTCACCCGACCGCGGCCAACAAGCTATTTGCCGCTGTCAGAAGCTTCCCGACCGCGGCCAACAAGCCAATTGCCGCGGTCACAGCACTCCCGACCGCGGCAATCAATCTCCGAGTTAAAGCCCACTTATCTGAAGCCCAAAGTTATTCTCAGCCTTAATTCTGGAACCCTAGAGACCATGGAGTATTGGAGACTATAAATACATGTCATTTAGGTCGTTTTTAGGGAAAACCCTAGATACTTTACAGAAACCCTTTTCCTTTAGCCTTTTTTATGAGATTTTTGTAGAAGATTGTTCAAGTCCGAGTTCTTCAATAGAGAAGCTTTCTTTATCTCTTTTCTTTACTGTTTTTCATTACTTTTATTAAAACCAATGATGATGTCGAACTCAGCCATGTCTGAGTAGATCCCGAGTTGGGCTTAGGGTTCCCGAAAGGGGCTCTCATAATAGATTAAGACATCTAGGTTTATAGATCTGGGATTTCGACATGTTCTCTGTTTATTCTTGTTCTTATTGCATGTATGCTTGATTGATCACCTAGTATCTGATCTAGATAGTTAGTGTTGCGAAAGTTTTCATTAAGTATCAGCCCTAGAATGAAACAGGAGATTTTTCCGTAGGAGTGGAAACCTACCTGCGGCGAGATCGTGAGTATTGACGAGTCTTGTGCAGCTCTTGCGTTCTCTCCCTTCCAGGGCCAGAGTGGAAACCTACTGGTCAGGGTTGTGAGAAACAGTTGGTTATGATCACGACAGTGACGTAGTCATACCGCCGTACTCTAGCTCTAGAACCCATATATCGTTATCTGTCAATCCCAATCTATCTACCTTAGTGTTAAAACCGATTATGATCCCTTAGAGTTCCCAAAAGCTCAGTGTTTTTAGCCATAGTTTACAATTCCATTGATGTTTACTTGCTTTCTTATACCTGCATTTCAATTTCCTTAGTTCATTATTTACTTGTTTTATTTACCTTTCATGCGATATCTTATTTGCCTTATTAGTCTTTCATTCAATATTTGCCTATTCTAATTGCATTCCATTCGATTTTCTTACCTGCTTTTTAGGATAGATTTATTTGCTTTCTTTTGTTTTAGTTTAATTCGCAAGAAAAACAACCAACCTTTAAAACCAATTTAGTCTAGACATAGAGTTAAAAACCGTAGAAGAATACCAGACACACAAATCTCTGTGGATTCGACCCTAAATACTACAACTGATTAGCTGTGCACTTGCGGCTTTCATTTGTTTTGTTAAGGGTAAAACTTGTTCTCTCACGTAGTTGACACGAACACATCAGTAGGCTTAAAAAGGTATTTCCTGAGCTTGTGAATAGAATATGTTATATCCGGCATAATGATAGTAAGATACATCAACTTTCTAAGGATTTCTCTATATGGAGTAGGATTTGTTAGAGGTGTATCAGTTTCACTGCTGAGATGTAGAGTGTGATCCATAAGGACTGCACTTGGTTTGCACGCTAGTAGGCTTTTCTCCTCCAAAAGACCTCAAGCATATTTGCGTTGATAAACCAAAATCCATTTTGCAACACTACAACAAATTTGGGCATTAATAACACACGAAAAGCGCTATTATATGGGTTTAATAGCGTTTTCATAAACGCTATCACAGCGGGAGCTATAATAGGTCCCCCCTATACAATAGCATTTTTTCGTATGCTATGATAAGTTGTTATTTCATAGCGTATTGTAAACGCTGTTTAAAAATCTGTAAGAGCGTTATTATGTGCTGTAATATATTATATTATATTATTTATAAATGCTGTAGTTTCTATTACTATAGCTGGTAGTTATTGCTGTACTAAAATTTTAGATAACACATTTTGTGAGCTACGATGTATATTATCGTAGCAAGAGAAAATATCCTTTTATGACTCTTGTTTTATGTCATCGTTTATGTGACCAAATTAACAGTTGTAAGATAGAAATTACTCAACCAAGTATCACATTAATGAAAAAACGTCATCATCCATACACACCAATTCAACTCAGCTCATACAAACTTTAACATAACATACAATCCAGTATCAGTACTACACATACATTCCTTCTCCGGCCAAGAAATAGAAGATAACATCTCTTACCTCATCCTAATACACGACCACTTT